GGAGCTGCTACTTGGACTGCCTTTTAGTGTTTTGTAAGTTGTTCCTCCCTGCACTGTAACAACTTGGTTATTTTAAATGTGGAAATTGTATGTCTGTATTGTCTCTGTGCTGTCCTCTGTTCATCTGTATCCATCTCCTCATCTCTTGTAAATGATTAATGCTATTGCACACTGTCCCTTGATAAATTAAATAAACTAAACTAAAACTAAACTCTTAGAAATTTCATGACAACATGGGGTTGATGTGATGATTATTTTGAGGGAGTCGTTCCTATAAATGCCGACTCATCAAATTCAAAATTCCGGATAATGTTTTGTTGAGAGAGTCTGTCATCTGACCTGTCTCAAAGTTGTCTCACCTCACAGACTCCCAGTAAATGACTCCAGAAATTTAAACACATACTGGGGCTCTGCACCGCAGCGTTTCTCTGTGTTGGTTAACAGTTTTGTTGTGCTGTTTCCGAGAGTACTGACATGTTTGTTGTCTTTTATGTGAAACAGAGTATACTTTTACAGAACTCTGCACATTACAGTGCAGTCTAATAAAATGTAATCTCATGTAACACATACTATATATCTATAATCATTCATTTTCATTATCCTGTTGGGGCTGGAGCCTATCCCAGCTGACATTGGGCAACAGGCGAGGTATATCCCGGACAGGTCGCCAGACTGTCACAGGGCTGACACATAGAGAGAGACAACCATTCACACTCACATTCACACCTATAGGTATTTGAGAGTCACTAATAAACCTGCATGTCTTTGGACTGTGGGAGGAAGCTGGAGTATCCGGACAAAACCCACACTGAAAACATGCAAACTCCACACAGAAGGGCCCCAGCCAGCTGGTGGATTCAAACCCTGAACCTTCTTCCTGTGAGGTAATAGTGCTAATAATTGATGATAGTTGTGGTTATAAGATGATGTCTGCTCTGAGAGCCTTTATTCAGGGATATTTTTGTACTGATTTGTGTGTCAGTTTCACAGTCAACTCACCTCTCCCAGTAAACTCAAACACAACGCACCCTCCTCAGTCTTTCTGGGCATATTTGATTAGGAGGTTGAAAAGTTGTCTGTTCTCACTTTAATCTAGTTCCATGAATTTCCCCTTTGACGTAGGCTTCATGCAGTAATTTAATCAAGATGGAAGTAACTGATGCTGTTGTATACCCCATAAGAACCCGGACCAATTTCTCCTTAAAGGAAAATTATGGGGGGCATAAAACAGACTAAATAGACCACATAGAACATATTTCTGACATTTTTCTCAAAATAACACTCATTAGTGTCAAAGATCTGTCAATGGGTGTTAATGGTAAATTCATTCCTCTTTTGAAACTTAATCAGCCTTAGTCTTTTTTGGTTTGATAACAAAACTTTGTATTTTTATTTGCGTTTCCACAATATCATAACTTTACCTCTTAGGTTTAACAACAAAATCTTTAACAACAAAATTTTGATTTATTTCACAATACAAAAATTTGTAAATTGAATTAAAAAAAAGACTGCCTCATCATATTGGAGGTCTTCTCAACAAGCCATTGTAGCTGTAAAAAAACTGAGCTACAGTCTTTTTCTGGTCATGTTTTTCTGTTTGGTAACAAAGATTCTAACTTTACCTCTTAGGTTTAACAACAACATTTTCTTTTCGTATTTGTTTTACAACACACAAATGAATACATTTGCAAAAATTTGCAAATTGAATAAAAATA